CTTGGGCTGTGGCAGTGGACAATGGCCACGTATTGGATGTGCTTTTCGTCGACTTCATGAAAACATTTGATAAGGTACCGCATTTGAGGTTAGCAGAAACGCTGAGCTCCTACGGCGTATCTAGCCGCGCTCTTCACTGAGTAGCTGCATACTTGCAGGAAAGAGAGCATTGTGTACGTGTGGGCCGCAGCTAATCCTTTTGACATGCGGTCCCACAGGGCTTGGTCCATGGACCGATGCTGTTCTCCACCTACCTAAACGATCTCCCTGGGAAGCTTGGGGCATCATCGCTATTGTTTGCTAATGCCGGTAAACTATGGGACGTTGTAAATGTCCATTGGGATATTGCGACCATACAGCACACGCTGAACAGACCCTGGGACTGGTCTACTTTGCGGCTACTACCCATTAACCAGGCTAGCTGTTCCGTCCTTCGTATAAAAGCAAGTTTCACACCTCCGAGAAACGTGCTCGGTGGGGTCTACCGCACCCTTTTGTCCAGCCACGTAGACCTAGGCGTCGTCTATTCCTCGTCCTTGCATGCTGGTGATAACTGGAAGAAGGCAGCAAGTAGGGGTTCCAGGATGTTGTGATTAATACGCCGTTTTTTGAGGTCTTAACTGCAGACACATTTGCGAAGCTGTTCGCAGTTTTCGTTCGCCCTCATTTAGAATATTGCGCCAAGGGTTCCCCGCTCTGTCTTGTTGGGTACAAAATGGAGCTCGAGAGAATTTGGAGAGTAGTTACCAAATAGATCAAGGGGTTACGGGGGCACTCATATCCCTAGCGTCTATTAGCTTGAGTATGTATTCAACGTACTACCGAGGGCTTCGAGGAGACCTAATCCTTACTTACCGCATTTTAACATTGTAGGTTGGGCCGGACTTGAGTTGGCTATTTAGCCCGGCTAGGTTGCCTTGTCTTCGTGGTCATTCCATGAAGCTACACAAAACTCTTTCCGATTGGATCAGGGTGGAAGCTCAGTTATCGCGTCGAGTTATCGAGCGCTGGAACTGGCTTTTAGAAAGTGTAGTCAGTGAACTTACGGTTAAGGGTTTTGAAGGTCAGTTACACTCTCTTGGGTGTCAACCCGAAACCTTCCACTTCTCCTGACCATAACTATCTTCCAAGGTTGAGTTCATATCCTTTAAGTCTCCAGAATAGGGTTATGCTTCATTTAAAAGCTTTCCTTTCACGTTAGCTTCCATCTTCTTTCTGCGCCTTCCTTAGTTCACATTTCCTACACAGCGGGGACTGCCAGTGCAGGGAACGTGGGCAGTGATTGGTTGACCAGAGTGTGGTTCGAGTGCCTTTTTAGCTCCATCAAGGTTTCCTAGCACGTTATCATTTCCTGGCTCACCGATCCGCTCAAGAAGGAACACTCAAGGGATGTTCCTATTGTCCCAGTCTCAACTGAATCTGAATCTCATCCTTGCGCATTGGACATCGCAACCCCATCTGTATGGTTCCAATTGTAGTACATGTTCCACCGGAGCCAGTACAAAAGGAGGCGCACCCAGGTTTTGAACCACGGCTGCACATCTCACAGTCCGGCGCTACCGTTAGGCTAAATTCAGGTTATGCCTGTCCTTTATATGGTAACTGGAAAACCGTCTGTCAAAACAAGGTCAAAAAATTGTGGAAACCAACGTTCCTCACACTGTCTAAGGCTTTTATATTGAGTTCATTGCGTTCATTGAGTTGTAGAGAGCAGGAGGGAAATCCCTTGTCAGCCCCATCGATTCCGTATCATACTGGGTTTGATGCGTGTCGTTGCGTTACGACGTTCCTCGAGGGTTCGTCGTAATTGCAGTGACAGCCGCAAGATTCCAGCATTCTCAGCGAATGTTTGTCTAGCAGCCGCTTGAAACTTTCCTCGGATGGAGCGTCTGCAATTGCTTCCGGTAAGCTGTTCCAGTCATTCACCACTCTAGTGGATAGGGTGATGTACTTGCGAAGTTCGTGTTTTCTTTGCTTAAACAGCTTCCATGTGTGCCCTCGGGTGGAACAGTCAGTGTTGGGCCGGAAGAATTGTTGTAACTCACTTCCAAGTTCCCCTCGGAGGATGCGTCTAGTGTAGATGAGGTCACCCCGGCGACGGCGGAGCTCGAGGGAGAACAGATTTAGCTTCTGGAGTCGAATGGGGTACGGGAGATCACGTAGCCCCAGAACAGCTTTTGATGCACGTCTCTGAACCTTTTCCAGCAGAGCGCATTCAAACTTTGAAAGCGGATGGCTAGCTGGTAGGCCATATTCTAAGACTGGACGGACGTACGAAGTGAACAACGGTCGAAAAATCTCGGGAGTCATTCGAGCGAATGATCTTCTTAAGGCACCTACCAGTCTCCTTCCAGTGGCCACCTTCTTTAACGTGTCCTGCGTCGTTCTAAGGTCAGAAGTCACGATAACCCCGAGATCTCTCTCGTGGGTGGTATTCCTAAGGAGAAACCCACCAATGTGGTATGCACCGTAGGGTTCGGTGCCACCCATTGGGAGAACAGCGCATTTATCTCGGTTTACTGGCAGTTCCCACCTGATGGACCATTCGTGTAGCTGGTCTAGAGCCCCTTGTAATCTGTCCGCATCCTCAATGCTGGATACTGTTGACCAAAGCTTGAGGTCATCGGCGTAGATCAAGCAGTCGGTTTGTAGCGCAGTCGGTAGATCGTTAATGTATAGTTTGAAGAGCTCTGGTCCAAGCACTGATCCTTGGGGAATGCCACTAGTCATGGGCACTGGAGCAGAGAGGGTTTGGTTCACTTGTACGCGCATTGTCCTACCCCTTAAGAAATCGGCAATCCAGGAGAGAAGATTTCCCGTAATGCCAATTCCCTGGAGTTTATGTAGCAGTCGTACGTGTGGAACCTTATCAAAGGCTTTGCTAAAGTCAATGAATATTACGTCAACCTGTTTTCGGGTATCTATGGCTTCTGCCCATGTTTCCCTGGCGATGAGTAAGTTAGTGATGCATGAGCGTGCTCTCCGGAAGCCATGTTGAGCAGGTGAGATGAGGTTTAGCTGGGCACAGTGTAGCTGGAGAGCGCACTTGACTATTCGTTCCATGGTTTTGCATACGACTGATGTCAGACATATTGGCCGGTAGTTGGCTGGGTCTTGTTTGTTTCCCCCCTTGTATTTGGGCAGGACGGTGCCTGCTTTCCAGCCTGTGGGTAGGCAGCCGACTTCGAGGGATTGCCGAAACACTTGGCAGAGAGGGACGGCGACGTACTCAGCTATCGTTCTGAGGAAGCTGGGATGCAATCCGTCCGGGCCTGGGGAGGAGTTCGGGTCCAGTTCGAGAAGTAGCTTAGTGACTACTTCGGGGTTAATTTCAACTTGGTCCATAGAGAAGTGGTGTGCAGGCAAACAGTTGTTGAGCAATGGTGACTCCACTGAGTAGACCGAGGAATATTGCGCAGCCAATAGATTTGCTTTTTCATCATCACCGTAGAGGACGGTACCTTCCTTAAAAGAGGATAGAGCGGGGATTCCACTACCAGTTTTGGCATTTCGCTTCAAGTAGGCAAAAAGTTTCTTGGGACAGTTTTGGGATTCCATGGCCAGTCTATGTTCATATTGTAGTCTTTTGTCTCGTTTTCTCAGGGTGCATAGGTTTCTGACAGTTTTGTACTCTAAGTAGCTTGATGTCTGTCCTGTGCTCTTGAAATGATCCCATAGTTTTCGACGTTTTTTCATTAGGGATCTTACTTCTTTATCAATCTATGGGGTCCTTTGGATGGTGGTCTGCTCTTGCAGTTTGGAACAAACTGTTCAATGAGCCGCATCATCATAGATCGTAGGCGTTTCGATGCGTCATCAAGCTCTAAGGATTGCGGGATACTCCAATCCATGTTACTTGCAGTCGTTCTTAATCTGGGCTGGTAAGTACGCCAGAAATTTCGACGCAGTGTCCCCTGATCGTGGATTGTGGGGCGTCGTATCCACGAAAAGGAGGCTGTACAGTGAACACTCGTCCCAAGAGGTTGGAGGATCGTTAGATCTGAGACATCAGATGGTGCCGAGGTGAGAACCAGGTCGAGAATGTTTGGTGTCTGACCAGGGACCATTCGCGTTGGTGTCAAGACATGCTGTGTCAGGTTGCACTCGTGAACGGTATCAAGGAGATCAACTTCAAAGGAGTCAGGTGAGAGATCACTGTGAAGTAGGTCCCAGATTACGTTGGTGGCGTTGAAATCCCCCATAAGGAGACAATTTGTTCCTCTGCTGTTGGTTCGCACGGAACGTAGTAAGTGTGAGCCAGGTGCTGTAGGGGCTCTGTAGACCACCCGACAATCAGCGACTGGTATCCGTCATGAATTCGGCACCAGAGCATTTCCGACATATCATCCTTGTCACAATCGGGTTCGACAATGTGGGCCTTGAGGAGGTGCTTTGTGTAGAGGATTACTCCGCCTCCAGACCTCCCACCAAAGCGATCGCATCGAAGTAGCTGATATCCTGAAACATGAACCTCCGAGTCAGATATGTCAGATGAAAGCCAGATTTCGGTGAACGCCATTAAGTTCGGTTGCTGTTCAGAGATAAGAAGTGGAATCTCATCTAGCTTGTTTCTGAGACTGCGCACATTCGCGAGTATTACCCGTAGTCCGTTCTTTATGTTTGAGGCCCTGGAAGAAGGAGGTTTGGCCTCCATCGAGCTCTCTGAGCTTTCTTGACTACGCGAAAATCCACTATGTGTAGATTGGTTTCTCCATTTGCGCGTCGAGTTCGAAGCTCGCAGACAGCTTGCCTCATTCGGACTCGGTCCTCCGGGGAGAGGTCTTTCAGAACGTAGGTTTCTCCCTTGAGGCGCGGTTTCCGTCTCAGGATGCGTAGGCATTCTTCTTCATCCTGACAGACGATTTTCAGAGGACGAAACTTGGCTGGTTTGGAAAGCTGCATAACACCATTTCAGCATTCATTTTGTTAATTTTGCCTTATTAGGTCGCTAGGAGCGGTATAAGAAAGGCCCACTACCGGGTACTACCCAACTTGAACTACCGACTCATTCCCCACCCTCGATGTCTCGTAACGGGCTTGCCATCTTGCTTACGTTTTGCGTTGGTTTCGCATGTGGTTACTACGCGCACATTTTACGTATCAAGTATCTTCATTCAAAGCGCGATTTTTTGCGACGAAAGGCAGAGGCTGTTGAACAACTTCTTAGAGGATAGGTCTCCCTGACTGTTTATCATGACTACACGCACTCCCCATCGGTCGACAAAGGAAATTGCTTATGGAGTTTCATGGTCTAACCCGACTTGGAGCCACTTGCTTTGCGCAGCCAACGTGTTAGATTACTTCTGTGATCTATCGAACCCGTTCTATGATCGCCAGTGCAATAATGAAATCATTCGGATGCAAAGGTTGAGCTCTGAACAGCTGCTTTGCATGACTGGTACGGAGTTTTACCTTTATCAAGCTCAAGTAAGAAATATTTCATTGATGCCTGCTGCTTCTTCTGAACTTGCCTTGTCGGTATCGATGTCCGTTGAGAGCTTGTCTGGCGTCCTTTGAGCATCCCACAGGCTTCCGTTTAGTCCCCTTTGGCGTCCCGTCTAGACATCTTTTGAATGCAAAAAGGACCCAGAGAAAATCGCGCAGGAAAATGCTTTCAAAGTGCAGGCAAACTAGTGCGCACTCAAGCAACTAGGTATTCTATTTTGCGAACACATCAATACTTGACTCGCATTACTATATGGGCGCATATGCGCCTACGTAACGATTGAGAACCAATGAAGTGAGGTGCAAATAGATATATTTACATGAACTACGCGCCACAAATGTGCTATATTTGTAACTGAAGCAGAAAGTATCCACCATGATGTAGCTTATTTATTCAGAAATATCTGCAGGTAGGACTGTGCTGTCCTGTGCGAGCCCGTCCTGGACTCCTGAGTGTCCAACGATGCCAACAAGGTACTTTCATTCACATCACAGTTTTTAAGACGTTTTTCTATGCGTTCAATCCATCCCATTAATGCAATGTCCGTTAATAGACGTTGTGTTCCAGATACCCGACAATTCTGCGTATGCGTGAAATCGAAAGACTGAGCAAGGATCTCCAGACGGCAAACCTGTACAACTTGGTGTAGCGCGTCGGTGTCACTGTAGCAGGTTAACAGGTAAAATGTCGTCAAGCATAACCTAAAATGCTGTTGTCAGTCCCACTTTTCTTTCTTATCCCCTTTCGCTTTCTATGTCGTTTACAGCAGTCATCGCTCGTGCGTGTTTCCGCCATCCATTCACTGCACTCAGACTCTGCCCTCTATCGACAGCTGTGAGAACGCCGTCCATCTCACCATGAGGGGTTGTTCAGGCACACCATCTAGCTCCAACCCTTTCTAGATGGTTGTGAAGCTGGTAATGGAATACCTGCTTTGTATTTTAACGAAGATGATGCCATACTTACCGATGATGCAAATCCGGGTTCCTGGCTTTGCAGTATTCTTCAGTCTTCGACTGAACCGCCGTTTACCAGTTAACTTGTGCCTGCACCCCATTTCACTTTAGAGCACCTAATAATCAGTCCGATTCGGTTGCCAGGCCTCTCCGCAAGCCAAACCCGAACTCCTCGCCGTTTCCTGATATGATACATCCTTTGTCTCTCAAAACAGTGACTGAGCACATCGCTGTGCCTCTGCCAAGTTTTTCAACGATCTCTTTATGCAGGACGCCTCTCGCTTGTTTAGAAACGGCATGACCAAGCCCATATAAAAAGGTGGAGATCGTCAAAACCTCGGGAGCTGTCGGCCGATTTGCTTAACATCCATAGTTAGTAAAGTAATAGAAAGAATTCTTAATTGAGTCTTATATCGTCACCTTGACGATTTAACTGTCATTTCCCTCACGCAACATGGCTACCGGCGAGCACGTTCACGTGTACCTAACCTGCTTGTTGCCAGGGAAAGTTAGGTAGATTATTAAATGCCTGGAATTGCTTGGATGTTTTCTGTTGACTTCAAGAAGCCATTTGATATAGTCCCACACGAACGGCTTCCTTTCAAACTCCGGAGAATTGGCGTTTTTAGAGATTCTCTCATGAATCACCGACTTTTTGGTTGGCCTTAGTATGCGAGTGAAGGTGAATGAAACCTACTTTAAACAGATTGTTTATCCCGAGAACTTAAAGATATGATTGGAGGTAACAACACCCGAAGTCGCTGTCCGTTTGCAAGCGATACTTGACCTGCTGCATAGCTGGTCGTTAAAATGGCGATTATTTTTCAATCGTAAAAATTGCTCCGCCCTGCCAATTGGTGCTTCCGACTGGACCCCGTCGCAACGAGACTGGACCTTAACGTGGTGCGACGCCGTCGCAACGAGACTGGACCTTAACGTGGTGCGACGGTTTGCGTACCTCATTGACCCACTGAGCTATACTGGGTGATGCCTCCGAGCATCTTGAGAGCTACTCTTACCAGGTTGGTCAATGGTGAGAGGTCAGACAAACTCAGTCTCCTAGTCCTCCAGGTTGGGGGTTTGAAATGGGATGGCGTCCATTTCTGTAAAACTAAATCACTGCCACCTCCCCGCTGCCTTGCGGACAGGCTTTTGAGCCAAAGGCTTTGGATGAGGACCCTAATCGTTCTCCTGTCTAGGTCTGGACGCCCTGGCAGTATCCCAGCCCACATACAACCATGACATTTTCTTCAAACATAAACTTCATCCTGCATCGGCCGTCGCGCAGATTATCAAGAGTCGCCTTATCTGCTGCATGCAGCAGGGTGGATAAGCGAAAACATGCTACTGCTGGCGCCTCCCTTCTTTCTTTCCCACCTTTTTTCTCTTACTCCCATCCCGGCCCCTATTACTAACCTTCCTTCTATAATTCCCAGCTTAATTGACAGCAACTGAAGTGCTACTGGAGTAGTACCATCTGCAGCCACCATCCCACAGCACCTATCGGACGCCTATCGGCAAAAGTCCCTTATTAGGCCACGCTGTCCCGTTTCCATGGCGACATTCAACGTCCGCACTCTAAGACAAACAGGTCAACAGGCTGCAGTCGCACGCACCTTGGATACACTGGGTGTTGATGTGTGTTGTGTGTCCGAAATTAGTACCAATGACCCTAATAGGATTGTTGTATTAATTGCACCCGGCTTATCCTCTCGTTATTGGTTGCACGCATCCGGAGACGCCGATACGGCACTCACGGGTCAAGCTGGTGTAGGTATCATTCTCAGCTGCAAGGCTGAGTCATCGTTGGTTGATTGGATTCCGGCGAACAGCCGTTTATGTGCAGCCCGTTTGACGACATCAGCTAAGGTGAATTCGCGAAGTAAAACAAAACGCTGTTTGTTTGTGATTTCTGCTTATGCTCCCACCGACTGCAGTTCTAATGCAGTCAAGGACACTTTCTATCACGAACTGAACACGCTGCTACGCAGTACTACTAGTTCAGATATTATAGTAGTTGCAGGGGATATGAACGCACAAGTAGGGCGTCTGAGCTCTTCAGAAGCTCAGCTGGGTGGTAAATATGGACTTAACGCCGAACGGACTGACAACGGCGAGCGTCTGCTGCAACTGTGTGCGGAGCACCAGTTGTTTCTTACTAGCACTGCTTTTAGACACAGTGGGTGCCGAAGTGCCACTTGGCGTCCACCTGTAGCTGGCCAGCGATGGACCCAAATTGACCACATGGCCATAAGTTACAGGTGGCGCGGTTCCATTCTGGATTGCCGCTCGTACTGGAGTACTTGTGTCGACTCTGATCATGCCTTGGTGCGCTGTCGTTTCTCCATGAACTTTACCGGAAGGCGCACAAAGCGTCTCCCCCGATTGGCAACGGAGAAATTGTCCCAGCCCACGGTCAGGCAAGCCTATCAAGAAGCACTGCATAGCGAACTCTCGCTGTCTTGTCCCAATGACACTGAACTTCAGTGGAATAGAATCTCGGCCGCTATGCACGACGCAGGAGCATCTGCTTGTGGCACTATCAGTCGTCACCGCACCAGTCACTGGATATCCGAGAGGTCCGTGAACCTGTTGGAAGCTAGAAGACACCTCCCGGCTGGTTCTGAACACAATGTGACCAGACGGGCTATTAGGCGTGAACTAAAGCAGAGCCTACGTGCTGACAAGGAAGCCTGGTGGACCAGTCGGGCTCAAGAAATGGAGGAGGCAGGAGCAGTAGGCAATTACCGCAAGCTCTTCCAGCTAATCCGCACCACTGGTCCCAGAAAACCAGGCGTCAGTGAGACAATCAGAGACAGGGCGGGTGCGCTGATACACAATAAGGAGCGCCGTATGGCTCGTTGGTCTGAGCACTTTGAACATCAGTTCAGCTGGCCCTCTGCTCCTGGACCTCTTCCTACTCAGGTGATACAGGACGTGGCATGGACGGTTAGTTTAGAGCCTCCGTCGGAGGCCGAGGTCCGAAACGCGATCACAGCCTTCAATCGTTTTCGTGCTGCTAGCCCGGATTCCCTCCCACCTGCAATATTTAAGGATGGAGGTGAGGTCCTCTGCAGGGCACTGACCTTCCTATTCGAACGTATCTGGAACGAAGTGTCACGGCTAATTGGAGCGAATCGATTATAGTGGCAATATACAAGAAGGGCAGTCGCACAGACTGTGCAAACCACAGAGGTATTAGCCTAACGCCAGTTGTGACAAAATTACTGGCCTCGATTATCGTTCGTCGCCTCACTGCAGAACGGGAATCTCGGATTAGGAAAGAGCAAGCCGGTTTTCGCCAAGGACGTGGCTGTATAGACCATATATTTACTTTGCGGCAGGTGCTAGAGCAGCGCCACGCATACCGCAGAGGGACAATAGCTGTGTTCCTCGACTTCAAGAGTGCGTTCGATTCAGTTGATCGATCGGTTCTGTTCGAATTACTTGCGCGAAAAGGTGTTCCCACGAAATATGCGAACATCCTTCGTGCTCTATACTCGAACACTACAGGCCGCGTCAGGGTATATGGTGTTCTATCGGATAGCTTTTCGACTACAAGTGGCGTTCGTCAGGGTTGTCCGATTTCCCCGTTTTTGTTCAATTTCGTCGTAGGTTCTATCATGGAGTGTTCCCTTGCGGAATATCATGATGTAGGCGTTGAAGTGCTGCCTGGTGAAAGGTTAGTTGACCTAGATTATGCGGACGATATCGTCTTGCTTTTCGACAATGTTGAGGCAGCACAGTCAACCCTGAATAGCCTATCCAGAGTGGTCCCATTATTTGGTATGCACTTCGCACCTTCAAAGTGCAAAGTGTTGCTGCAGGACCACCAGCCACTTGATGACCCCTTGACGCTTGCTAACGAGGAATTTGAGGTGGTTGATCAATTCACTTATCTTGGCAGCTGCATCAGCAATGATGGGCGCATAGAAACTGACGTGAGCTCACGCATTGCAAAGGCCAGAGCTGTCTTCTTGAACCTGCGGCATCTTTGGCGACAGAAGGGAGTTTCCCTCCGTCTG